GTGTCTGACATGTGTCTCAGCGAGGCGTGAGACAGGCCCCTGTTTGTCCAGACAGAGTAATGACGAGGCGAGCAGTGTGAGGCTGTGCTAATCAGTCCACACAAACCCCATGGGAGCTCCCTAAGTGGACGGATGTCTCCCAGTGATGGTCCGTCTGCTACATAACAGGGGCCAGGCAGCGCTGCCACCATGTTGACTCTATTAAACAATAGCTACAAAACAAGTGTAGGCTATAAATACATGTACCCGTTTCCATTCGTTTCTCAGGTAATTAGTCGGCTGCTCCTGAGTGTTAAGCTGACCCCTTACGGCTGAACCTCGTGCTCGGTCCTGTGGGCCAGCACTCATGGAATTTTGCTTTGCATAACGGTGGGGAATCACACTGCCTCCAGCTTTCCCATTGAGTGTGAAATAATGAACCTGCGCCAGTTGTGACTTCAAAACGCAGTTTCCATCTTTTCTGTGGAGAAAAAAAAATAACTGGGGCCGGGATGATGTTTTTACTACTTGACAAGCTGCAGAAGATCTATGAAGAGCAAACCGGTAGCTGTGTGAACAATCGTTCCCTGTTGTCTCCATTCATCTGTCCTCAGAGCGGGCCGTCAAAATGAAAAGGACACATACGGTGACGTGTTTCTTAGAGGAAGCTTAGAGACCGATCCCACAGATTGCATTGAGACTCATCCGCCTCACACATTTCTGTGTCTGAGAAGAAAGTCTTCCAGAATTGTAGGGGAACACAGTTTAACGGAGTGAAACACCAATGTTTTTGGTGGTTAAAATAAGACGTTGCTTTCACTTTCTTCTCTCATCCCGACTTGGCACTATTTTCCGAAGAAGGTGCTTATGCATTATGTACAGACAGCCTTCACTTTAAACGATTGTTTGCTGAGCTCTAAAAGGAGCCGAGACTGAGATGAAACCCAATGCAGCGAAATGAAAGAACTTTCAGAGTGAAGCTCAAAGCGAAGCTATTTAAGGCATTACCGGCTCTATGGTGCTTTTTTTTTATTTATCTGAATGTACAGTGTGCAGTACGGGATTAGCATAGTTGAGACGTATTATACTTGGAGGTGAACACAATGGGTATTACATGAAAGAAATAATGCACCCAGGAAACGGCTTAATCTGATCACAGTGCTTTATTCGACCCCCTGCGGGCCAATCCTCTGATGTAGCTGTTTTTAATTACGAGAAATAAGCTTCATGCTTAACAGGAATTCTTGCAGTGAAGGGCGATGAACTCTGCTATGTGTGTGTGTGCGTGTGTGTGTGTGTGTGTGTGTGTGTGTGTGTGTGTGTGCATTGTACAGTTCTGTTGTTGACATAAATCAGGTTCTTGTCTTGAAAGTTACAAAACTTCATTTCACGGCAGTGTGAATATGAAGACTATGCAAATTGTTCTGTACAGTAGCGAATCCGAGAGAGGGTTATTGAATGGAAAAACAAAAGCTCTTTGTCTGAGTTTTTATTTTTTCTTTCCCAAAGGGCACAGAGAGAAGTTGTGTGAAGGTGTGTAAATGAGCATTCATGCTAATGTGTGGATAAAAGCAGCAGGGCGAGACGGCTTTGCCTGGGGGTGGTCACTGTGGCGGATGCTACATCAGCGGCAAAAACAGCTAATTGGATTACATTTATTTTGGGGGTTAAGCATCAACAGAAATGTGTAGTTCAGAAATATGAAATGCATTCATTCTATTATGGGGATTTAATGGGTTCCTAGTTGAACACATGTTTTATGCCCTCAGTCGATGACGTTGAAACGATGCCATTTCTCCTGATTAAGTGGATGGAGAAGTGGAGATGGTTTTGAGGACGTTCCATTTCTGGAATTTTATTTTGGGTTAACAATGACAACTGATTGAATTTACAGAGCAATTCATAAAGCGTTGCAATGTCAGCTTTATTAAGGCGAGACACTACAGGACAAAAACAGTCATCGTTATTTCATGCACTGGTCAATTTTGAGATTTGAGTTTACTTTGCTTCAATAACATGCCTTCTTTCAGACCAGTGGAAAGAAAACATCCAAAATATACATATAGGTGTTTATTTTACTACTTTGTCTATTTGTGTCTGTAGAGTTCTCCTAAATCCACCAAAAGTTACCATCAGATAATACCTCATTTGCATATTAAAACAAAACATTTCACAAAACTTGCAACACAAAACATGTTTCTCTTAATTTGAACTACTGACTGGAGAAGTTTCATGCTGATATTTATTAGTTATTTTTTTACCTTATTCACCAGTAGTGTCTGCATATCTCATGTTATGATAAATATCTCTCAGTTTTCTCTAAATGAGTTGTTTCTCAGACTGATCCAAAAATCTCCACTTCAGCAGCTCTTACATACTCCAAACTTTACCCTTTCATTCCTCTCTATGTGCTGAAGGTTTGTTCATTCATAGCCTGATTTATACAACATCTTATTACTAAAACAACATTGAATTAGAAATTGCCTAATTTGCATTTATACATACAATTTCAGAAAGGTTGTGACGAAAAAGTATTTTTTTTAATATATGGGGTGTAAGGGATCACAAAACTCACTGTTCAGATCGGATCAAGGTTTTGAGTCACGGATTGGATCAGCAGAAAAAAGGGAGTAAATATAACTTTTAGAGATGCCCGATCACCTTTCTTTTGCCGCCGATACAGATTGCTGATCACCAATGATCCATATTGGCCGATACAGATTGATACAGTTTTTGTTGTTGTTTTGTGTTGTCATAGCAGCTGGTACACAAGGCTCTCTAGACTATCTATTTTTCACCACCAACCCGAAAAATGATGTCAACTGCTTATGTTTTTACTTTTTTACAATCATCTATAGGGGTTATTTGCATAAAAACACACAATTAAAATGATTTGTATCATGTTATAATTCATATTGATCAAAAACATCATGTCAGTAGTTTTAATGATGTAATATAAGCTTCTTGGAGCCAGTGCTAAATAATTAAAGAGGTCATAATATCTATTTTCATTTGTCTCCTTCAAACAACTGAATTTTTTCAAGTTTCTCACCCAAAAAAATATTTTCATCATCATTCAATTTGTCATGATAACTTTATAATTTACTGTCACCCAATACTTATTTTCAACAGAGCATGAGTGTATTGTGATGTAAGTTAATGAAACCTCCGTACGTTAGCCGGTTCTACCAACGTTACTAGCTCTCCTCCACTTTATCACAGATTTGTTTTTCTCAATGTCGCAGTATCAGGGATAGACGACTAGACAGCATTAATGCCAATCTCCTGATCGCATATTTTTTACTGAATATTGGATTTCTACGAAGTGTAAACATTCCTGTCTCATTTCCCGTTAGCAACGTACATGTCAAATTTTATGCTTGGGGACTGCATTTTCGAAATGCACTCCCGGAGAGCATTTTGATGGAAGCCAAAGGAGGAAGAGTTGCTGTGGTCTCTGTCGTCCGGCCGGCCCACCACTACAGCCCAGACAGATTGCAATTAAATTTGGTACAATCGTTCAATGTCTCCAGGAGTGAAACCTACAGATTTCACTATTCATCTAGTGTCACCAGCAGCTCAAAGTTTTTTGTTTTTCCCCCCAGTAAAACACCCCATCTAATAAATGGACTGGCACCAAACAGACATCCACACCTGCCTCGGGATGAGCTGTAACAACTGCAGTAATCTCTCTGTAATAGTAATAGTAAATGTCCTCAGGCATTTTCTGCATCATTTATACAAAAGAATAGACATCAGCCTCGGCTGCTTTTTTTTGTTTAGTGCTGATTAGAAAATGTTAGCATGCTAACCTAAGATGGCGACCATGGTAAGTATTATACCAGCTTAAACATTGACTGTGTACAAGAAGTGGACGTAGTCAAGCTGACGTCACCCATTGGTTTGTGGATTGATGTTTGTGCATTAATTAATTAGACGCCTTATACAGCTCTGGTAGCGGCAACGGCCTGTCAATTACAGTAAGCCCGCCCTAAAGCATACTCTGCTTTATGGTCTATTTGACTCTAAATGAACCATAATTTAATAAATGAGCATCATGCTGTATTGAAGAAGACTTGAAACTAGAGATTGAGACCATAAACTCATGTTTACAATATTTACTGAGGTAATAATTCAAGAGAGAAGTCGCCCCCTGCTGGTCAGTTGAGAGAATGCAGGTTTTAAGACACTTCCGCATCGGCTTCACTCTGCAAAACCGGATGTTGCCACCTGAGCTTAACATTAGCATGTTAAGTTTATTAGCATGAGCATGTTAGCTAATGTTATCTAATGCTAGCATAAAGCAGTATGAACTCACAGAGCTGCGAGTGCGGCTGTAGACTGTTGGACTAGAATCAAATACCTTTTGACACCATCATAGTTTTTTTACTGATGATTGAACGAGAAGAGTTAGGTGCAAGTCTTGGAAGCAGGGGTTTCACACAAGGTTCTGGGCCCCATACATAAGCAGTCTCTGTGTCCTGGGTAGTCAGACTCACTTTTCCACTCCGACACCCCTGCTTTGAAATGCTCCAGATGCCTCTCACTAGACAATGTCTATGCAGAAAACCAATTGGACTTTGCCTCCCCGTCGGTCGTGGCAGACTATAGGTTCATAAACGCAGACTCTTTGCCAATCTCTCACATTTCTTGTTCACAACTCGATGTGTGGACTGCCGTTCTACTCATGAAAACTATTTATAGAATCAACTGTAACTTTCTTCAGACCTGAGCAAATTTTCCAATCATAAAATGGGGCCACTGTGTTTTGGTAACGTGACTGCTTCTCTTTAGTCAGCTGTAGAAATCTTAAAGACGCCTTTGAGGCCCGATGCAGTCTACCACATGTTTCTGTGCGACTGCTTGCCGTCTTCACTTCCCTCCTCGGGGCTTCTGCCCTTTCCATTCAGTCTAGCTGTGCAGACACCGGGGGGATTTACTGCTCAACTGTTTTTTATTCCATCAGTTTCCTGTGTGCGCTGCTGATATAATATGCATACCCGCATGTCCCCGGGCTGCAGGTCCAGGTGCCTCTGCTGAAGACCTGCTCCAGAGCTGCTGCGCTGCTGGCCAGAAATGGGCCACAGACAACCACCACTGCAACCACATGCCACTGCTGAACAATGACAGGCACTCCATATGTAGGTAAGTTACTGTTAGTTCAGCTGCTTTAGTGATTTCATTTATTGGATGAAACTTCAGTGGGTGGATTTTAGAGGAGAAGTTCATTCTCATAAATGCAAATGTCTTCAAATTTGGCACAAATCAGGACAAAATCAGGACAAAAAAAAAACCTGTCGTGTGCATAACTTTGTCTCAACATGATTCTCATTCAGTGTAGTGTATGACTATGTCTGTGTGTGTGTGTGTGTATGTGTGTGTGTGTGTGTGTGTATGTGTGTGTGTGTGTCAAGTGTTGCTTGGAGGCAGTGCTGCCTTAGCTCCGTAAAGGAGAGCCAGTGTGAATCAGGCTTGACTTCAGCCAGAGGAGGCGACACCTGTGAAGTGGAGAAGGAGGACCAGTGCACAGATGACTCCTACCAGGTACCTTACTGTTACACCACCATGACACCTCAATGGATACTAGTGACAGAGCGGAAACAACAGGAAGATTGTCGAGTCGCGACTGAAAGACACGATGTCATGGGTGGATGGCGCACACATTTTCTAGACGCCCAAGTTCTCCATAAAACAAACACTGAATCGATTGAAGGTAGTTGCGTCTTCCTCTAGAATAGAATATGAACTATTTTGTGAGTCATGTATGGTATGTCTCAATATTTCAAACAGTTCAGGACGACAAAACTGGACCGTGCAGACAGTTCAAACAATAGGCAGCGATCAGTACGGAGAATTCCTTGGAACTGCCACAATAAATTGGTGAAAACTGAAAACCTTTCCAGTGTATTTCAGACTTTAAACTTGTTTAAACATTCCCTGGAATGCACTATTGTTTTTGCCCGAGTGAGATTTCAACTACAGATACATGTGCCAGCAGAGGCTTTTGTAGAAGGTCAGACAGTTTATTTGTCTTTATTGGCAAACAGGTTGAATATATTGGTAAAATATCTGCCAAAATCTCCCATTTCTGCATGCGTCCTTCAGACCTGTGAATACTTCCATATGAAAGATGGGAGTCATGCCTTTGCTCAGAGTCAGCTCAGACAGCATTCCTCATTCCTCCAAGAGGAAACCCGGCGGTTTGGCCCCCAAGCCAGCTGTTCTTGTGTCGAGGCAGCCGAACCTAACCGCTGTGCCAGGTCATTGTTTTAGAGGAGAGTATCAAAAAAAGGTGAAAGTCTGGTTTTCTTTGCATGACGTGGTTTGGCTTGAGGCAGCGGCTGAAATCCTTTTGCAGTGCGTTCACAGGGATGAACCAGCCTGCCGGCCTCTTTAGCCCGCTATGTCTGCCCCTCCTATGCTGGCTACGAAAGCGGGGCTAATGGCGGAGGCGCCATGAAGATAGGTGGTCAGTAGAGATGTGAACGGCGCCCCGGTGACGCTCTCCTAATGGGCTCTGCTTCTGTGTCCGAATGGGCAGGTGTGCTGCAGCTGCTGTGCCCTCGGCTTGCGCGTGCGCAGTGAAGGAAGGGGCTGCGATGCCCACCAGTACCTGGGCTACCCGTGCGGGCACGTCTTCCTCACCTGCTGCGAGAAGGAGGAGGGTCCGAGCCAGATCCCGCTGAGGAGGAAGCAGAAGCCCAGGCCGACGTCTATACCTAGAAAAGGTACCTGTTACCCGCCGCACAGCAGTGTTCCACTGACATGGAAAAAACATTCATCATGCTCATTGGTGTAATAAGTTACAAACAGCCCCTTGTAGTCAGAGGTAGTGAAAGAGTCAAGTGAAGAAGAAACTAATAAACCTGCTTTGGAATCGTTGAAAGAATTCAATATCAGGTCAGTTATTACATCTGGAGTATTTGGAATTAATTTATCAAATAAAGCAGGGTATGCTTTAGGGCGGGGCTACCTTGTGATTGTCAGGTCACTAACACGGCGTTGTCCGGTCCGAGAGTTGTCAGTGTTTTCCCGTTAGATCTACACATTTCAAAGTGTGTTTTCGCTTAATGAAAACTAATTGTAACATTTTGGTCGCCTATAATATACAGTATATTATATAAAATATTGCTTCAACATACGATTTTACTGAACTTAACTCTCTCGTTTCACTTGTTGCAAAAACATTACATGGCGACGGCCAAAAACCAAGATGGCGACGGCCAAAATGCCAAATGCAAGGCTTCAAAACCGTAGTCCACAAACCAACGGGTGACTTGCCAGTGACTACGTCTACTTGTTATATACAGTCTTTGGTAGAGAGCAGATCGAAACGCCTTGACATTGTGATGCTGTCATTGCTTTAATCAACAGTCAAACAGAAATCTTACCGCCATTTATTGCGTTTTGATTGCCGATGATCAATTCTGCACAGTCCTGGCTCATCTCCAGCAAGATTATATACTTTGTAAAGTATTGTACTAACGGTGACTTTGGAGTGCTGCTGCCAATCAGAGAACAAGACAATAGAGTCTCTTTAAATAAAACCATAAAAAGGAAAAGATTTAATACTCTGTTTTCCAGATCTTTACCACAATTGGCAATTTGTTTAATGTTTTGCAGCTGTGAATAGCTGTTCCATTTTCTTTATGCACTTCACAGTGGGACATTAGTTATTTTGAGTATATCTAATTTAGACTGTTTTAGAATGCAACAGAAAACCCAAATCCTGTTTAGAATTAGTGTGTAGTCTGCATTGGGACAAAACACGAAAGTCTTCAGACTAGATGTACTATTCTACTGCCGTTAAGGTAAACAGGCTGCTAAACTTACAAGATCCTAAAAGCCTTATTGATTTGGACCCTTTTTTGGTAACCAAGTAACAATAGTACTTGGTTGTGCATTAAGTAGGTAAGTTACCTAACAGAACCATTGTAAAATAAATCAAAGTTGACTTGGTTTCACATGGGACGTAAATAATGACGCAGGTGGGTTCACATTGGAATTAGCTGAAATCACCGGTGCGTCTCATACAGAAGCTAAAGGGCGCCTCGGTACATCGGTGTCAGACGCTGAGGGCCCCTCTATAGCCCGAGCGAGCCCCATTTGGGGTTCGAGTACCGGTACCGAAGTTCCGAATGGACTTTTCATCAAGAAATATGAAAAATGGTCCAGACATATATAATACCGAAAAAAAAAAAAAAAAGTCCGGGCAAAATCATCATGCCAGCCATTTTACACAATTATACACAGTTATACACAAACTAATTCAATTCAATACCTTTTTGTGATTTACGTCCCGAAAAAAACAGTTAATCCATTGAAAGTTGCTACAGCGCTGTAGACCGTTTCCTGCTCCGTCTGCCTGCATTGAAATGAACGTGCTGTGACCTTTCATGAGAAAATGGCCCGTATTTTTCTCCTGGACCAATCTATTTTACGCATGGGGGTTGAGCCCACCGTATCAAGATTTTTACTGACTAATGGCTCTCAACTTTCCAAATAACACCCCTGACGGCTTTCAATGGACTATTCCGCACCTAACATATGATTAAATCCGCCAATCACAGGCCTTACAAATCCCACATACACATTCAGTGAGAGCAGATTTTTTTCATGGATGAGACATATGACATCTGAAAATAGCTGAACATGGCTGAAAATGATTCCAAACTGCTTTATCACGATGTATTGAACACTCTTAGTGATAAAGCAAGTGAATATATAGTTAATATGTAGTTATATAGTATATAAAATTAGAATAGAGCAGCGCAAAATCTGGTTCCAAAAATGAGAATTTGGCTTGAAATTCTGTACTCAGACCTCCTATTATGCTGGCCTGCTTCACTCAATGTAAGAAAAATTAGCTTGGAGAGACCACAAACCTGTTATGCTATGACTGTGGAGTATTTTTAGGCTTCAATCTGCTTTATTTCAAAAACAATGTTCAATAAAAGTGCTTTTTTTTCAGGTGAACCTGAAACTTTTCAATTTGAGCTGTGTGCCATCTTCATTCACTATTAACCAGTAACATATACACAATATTTACACATCTGAACAAGTCTCTCACAAGTTTTACCTATATTATACCATCAAAATTATTAAAATAGACCTTGTAGTTTCAAATCAACAGTCTTTAAGTATGGGTATGCAATTTTCGAGCAAAGGCCTAAAAATAGGGCTTGGGCTATAGAGGTTTTAATACTTGGACAAGCAAAACATTTTGCCCAATTCTGTCTCCTCAAAAGATCTTACTGTAACTACCTTCTCAAATATGAAATTGCTGTTGGGTTGAGCCTATTGCTATTTCATCCTCATCGAAGTTTACGTCAGACGTAGACTATTGGCCGAGTTTGATCTCCTCAAAAAATCCTCGATGCTCTAGCCTGATTGGATGGGAGTCACTTTACCATTTAGAGAAATGGCAGTTTTTCTCTTTCGCCGATACATCAAGCACATAACACCAGTGACATTTACATCAATGAGTTTTCAAGCAGCCGAGGTTCAGGATAAACACGCCTCAGTGCAAACGTATCCCAACACCCATTAGTATCTGTATCCATCTACAAAAACATGGTTGGTTAGTGAGCGTCTCTGCTTCTGATCAGTGCACTGGCCTCTGAATATGTGAGCTGTGGGAACTATTAGAAAGAATGTGCATGTTTTTCATCAGTGACATTCAAGGTGTGATGGGTGAAATAAGACTTTAGAAAGATTATAGTATGACAACGCATCTGTTAGTGTGTTCGTCTGTCTGTACTCGTACAGTTCAATAAGATTATCTCAGAGAAGCACTCGAGCTGAGAGCTTTGTTCAGCTGTTTAGTTTACATATTGGGACCAGACATGCAGCATGCGGCTCATTATCAGTCAGCCTTCGTGGCTGTCCTTTAACGGGAATAGTTGTGTGATGGTGAGGTAAGGTCAGGCTCCTCTCCTCACCGTCTCAGCCTGTTATTTCATTCACGACATCAATGGAATTCCTCCTCATCCCGCCCTTTAATGGGCCCCGCTCTAACCAGTGACTGCAGCTAATTTCCTTCAGCTTTAAAAGGGAAATTTGAATGATGTCATTCTGAAGTGGGAATCAAATAACCCGCTGAAAGCTGTGAGAGGTTTAAGAGCAGCAGAAACTGTTCCCGCTCTCAGTCAGAGTGTGTGTGTATAGCTCTCTCGCACACACACTCTCAGAATACCTTGACTTTGTGAGTGTGTTAGGGATGAAAATATGGATGAGATGCACTGTAATTATTTCCATGGGGGATATATTTTCAGTCTTATGACTTACCGCCTTTTAATTAAAACAGGAAACGTTTAATCGCCCTGCTCCTCCGGATTCAAACCCCAGGTAATGACTGTGACTTACTGAAAACCCAACTGGGTCCATCACTGCTCCAATATACTGTACTTTTGACCCTTAGCCCTTGATGTATAACGGTGTCTATAATGAATCGACATTCGTGCACAGCGCTGTTTGTTCTTAGTTGAGGCACTAAGCTCACATTTCCACTATAACTGGTGGTTTAAAGCTGAAAGCATCAGTCTGATGTAAAGGAGGAGTCGGTGTTATTTTGTCTCTCTAAGCCAGTTTCATGAGGGTAAAGTTACATGTTCTAGTCTAAACTATGGGACGATATAACAAGTGGACGGAGTTGTCATGACGTCACCCATTGGTTTGTGGACTGCCGTTTTAAGCCTCGAGTTCGGCATTTCCCCCGCCGCCATCTTGGATTTTGACCGTCGCCATTCTCTCAAGTGACCATATTTAGACTGTGGAGGAATAACGTAAAGATGCTCTGGCAGCGACCTGTCCATCACAGTAGCCCCGCCCTAAAGCATACCCTGCTTTATGGTCTATTTATGGACCATAATTTACTAAATGAACATCATGCTGTATTGAAGAAGACTTGAAACTAGAGATTGAGACCATAAACTCATGTTTACAATGTTTACTGAGGTAATAAATCAAGAGAGAAGTAGAGTCATTTTCTCATAGACTTCTATACAACCAGAGGAGTCGCCCCCTGATGGCCATTGGAGAGAATGCAGGTTTAAGGCACTTCTGCATTGGCTTCACTTTTCAGAACCGGAGGTTGCCTCGTGGTCTAAACACACAGTGGAAGTTTCCAGTCCTTTACAGGTCTTTTTCTAACTTAACCTGTAATCCCACATAATACAACAGTTAACTAATGACGTGCCGCTTGTCTATAGAAGTATCTACAGATCTATAGATCAACTACTGTATGTAGAAAGCATAGACTGTTTGTAGAGATGGTCTCCACTTCTTCCTATAGTACAAAAATAAAGCCAAAATATACCACAGCTGCCACCATGTGCTTTTGACTTCATTTGGAGTCAGAGAATGCCCAGTAGTGAAGCTTTTTTTTATCCAGTTTCTTACCCGGGCTGAAGTTCCGGACCACGCCTACCAGGGGCCTTAAACGTTTTTCCTTAACTAAGGAAACCTTTTAAGGGACTCTGTGCAGTCCCTCAGCAAAGGAGAAAGTACTTACAAAGGCAAAAACGTAAGGTGTTCCGTGAAACCGGCCACAGACCTTTGCACTTGTTACTGGTGGTTTCTTGTAATGATAGGAATGTAGGAATTGAAACATTCTCAAGGAGGAGTAGGTGTTCGGTTTCATGAGGTTAAGTGTGCGCGATAAATTGTTCACTCCTCTCACTCCTTCCAGTCTCGGACAGCAAGTTCCCCAAGGAGGCCTTCTCCATCGGCGCCACGGATGAAGCCGCCAACGCTGTGGAAGAGCAGGAGGACGTGGACGAGTGTCGGCTCTACCCGGGCCAGCTGTGCCAGCACACGTGCACCAACAGCTGGGGCTCCTACCGCTGTGGCTGCAACCGGGGCTACGTTCTGCAGCGGGATGGACACTCCTGTGCACCAGGTGCCGTAACTCACCTCGGAGGCTCGACTCGCACATGAACAGCGAGCAGTACTCATAGTCACTGTTTTTATAGGGATTCTGCACTGTATGACAGAGTCCAGGTGGCTGCACATTTGAAACATTTCACTAATGAATCATAAGGGTACCCCAGGGATTTAGTATGGGGGACTCCCAAGAGACAATTGTATAAAAACTGGTCAAAATTGAAGCAGCAGAGATATCTTTCATTAAACCCTCTATCTGGTCAACGCCCATGTGCTTCAAAACCCAGAACCTCACCAGGGTTATTTCCTCAGACTGGCCAGAGCTCCTCAGGAGTTACTGAAAACATTATATTGTACATTTGACTTTTTTTTTTTTTTTAATTGACACATTTTAATCACTATGATATAAACTATGCTAAACAGAAGAGAAAGAATAAGGAAACTCTTTTTCCCTTTGCCATTTGAAGGACATTTGTATTATGCCCTCCAGCACTAATTACGTTCTGAGACGAGTAGATAAGCTAGCAAAGCTACCAAAAAGTAGCCTACAAACGGTTTCGGCCGTCTCCGTCTCTCACTCTAAAACCGCACATTCGTTAACTATTCATTAAGCCAGACTTGTAGTACACTGTCTGGCAGAAACCCATCTTGTGTAGTCATCCCAAAACGGTGAAATAACAACTTCTGGGTCCATCACAAGATCCTATGGGGACCCCCCCCCAAAAAAAAGAGATGTCTGTAAATCAGCAGATCATTCTTTTTTTTGATAGATCAACTTCCCTGTACCAACACATGAGTAGATCTCTTTTTTATTATGATTTTATGTGAAGCACTTTGAATTGCCTTGTTGTTGAAATGTGCTATACAAATAAACTTGCCTTGCCTCGTCCTAAAATTGGTGAAATTCACTAATAGCCTAATCAGAGTTATTCTCTTTTCCATGAACAATGCGAGTGCACTTGCTCTATGGGCCCATTGATGTGGAAGCAGTGCAGAAGGTCCTCGTTAATTTCATACTCAGAACTTGCTTCATGCGCCACAGAGCAACTTTCATAGGAATGAATGAGGCCCCACCTCCAACGCTGTATCCACTTCTCTTTATACATCCATGCAAACCCCCCTCCCCCCCTCCTTAGTGGTAATATGTTAATCACATTGTCATATTGGTTATTACTATGATGCTTCGTCATTAACGGACAATGCATATAGTCAAAAGCAATGTAATTAACACAATGACAAGAACAAACTCACAAGAACCAGTCACATATATGTATATGACAGCAAAGCAGGTAGAATAACATAAAACCCCAATAACACGATTCAACAGGCCTCTGCACATTTCAGCAAAACTGCGACGCTAAAACAAACATTCCACCACACACTCAAGAGCACCATTCAAATATTATTCACATCAGAGGGAACAATATTAACCATATCATAAAAACGACACCATAGACAAATGAACACAGTAGTAACGCTACTGCAGAGGTGCGGTTCAGTTCCAGTAAGAAGTCCTCCTCGATCACCATGGACGCCAGTGAAGACAGTCGAGCCTCCCCTGTTGTATTTCTTGAATACGTTTTAATGCGTTTGAGGGCTGAAAATGTCCACTCGACAGAGGCAAACATGCCAAAACGCTAAAGATGTAACTTCTTACATTTCTTTAAACTTTAACTCTTACTACTACAAAAAAATAATAAAAAGCTCTACTTAAGACAAGCTGCACTGGAAGCAGAGCAACTGAGGAAGACCGTAGCTGTGCAATGAGATAATAAGCTGATGGGGAAAATATTTAGAATACATGTAGTGTATTTATGAACTTTGGGATTCTGTGTAGGCCAGCAGAGAAGGCCATGCTGGCCCTGACCCCCCACCACTGATATACGTATATACTGTATATACAGTTGTGTGAAAAAGTGTTTGCCCCCTTCCTGATTTCTTATTTTTTTGCATGTTTGTCACACTTAAATGTTTCAGATCATCAAACAAATTTAAATATTAGACAAAGATAACACAAGTATACACAAAATGCAGTTTTTAAATGAAGGTTTTTATTATTATGGGGAAAAAAAAATCCAAACGTACATGGCCCTGTGTGAAAAAGTGATTGA